TGTTTTTGCTCATTTCCCTGCTCTTTCTTCGATGTGGAACACACATGGGTTTAGACCGATAAACGATACCTAGCGATACCCAATACCCACTTCATAGGTCTGCATGCCATCGGAAACCACCTGCCCACTTACGTGCCACTACTCCCACAAATTCTGCCACTACTACTACTACTGCTACTACTACTGCTGCTACTACTACTACTGCGACTGCGACCGCGACTGCGACTGCGACTACTACTTCCACTACTTCTACTACCACTACTACTGCTACTACCACTACTACTGCTACTACTACATTCTACGACTCATCATTTGCAACATTACCTTCCACGGCGTTTTCGTGAAGACGACACCTACCACAATATGAGTACCATACTCATCATGTTGAATTTCTCTATCTTTAGATGTTGGTATTTCAACAGTTAGATTTTCTACAACTTGGTATAGTTCATTAGGTTTCAATCCAAAAATTGTGAAAATTAGTTGCAAAAGTAAAAAATCTCTTTCATTCTGTTCTACTAGACTTGCCAGCCTTTGCCAAAGGCCCCTAATCTGGAGGAGGCGGTCGACCGTTCTGTTTTGTTGGTTGACCCTCCCTCCCAGCCTTTTTCCACAGGCTCCTAGTCTGGAGGGGGCGGTCGACCAAAAAATAAGTACTGTCTATATATATATATATATATTGTTTTAAAAGGTATAACTCTTTGGGCCGACCCCCTTCCCAGCCTTTTCCGCGCGTTCCTAGTCTGGCGCGGGAGGGCGGGAGGGTCGACGCCTTTTTGTCGACCCCCACTCCCAGCCTTTGCCACATGCGACTTTTTTCTATCGATCCAGCTTCTACTTTTGTACACTTTGCGAGATTTTGCCCCCCAAAAAATCTAACATTACTATCTACTTGCTACTCAGAAACGTGTATTTTGGGGGGCCTGACAGCGTCCCTTTCTGTAGTTTTGCCGGTCGCTCAAACGCAATCGCCAATTTTCGGCGCAACGTTACAAACAAATCCAATATCCAAGCGAAACGCATGTTCCGTTGACCACGAAGCACTTAAAAAATGTATGCCGGTCGTCGAATTGTTTGTTCGAGCGCCTGTGCAAAGTCCATATACATCTGAAGAACCTATTCAATACAGCGCAATAACATTAGACTCGCGTCAGAGTGGCGTTTAAATATCTAGTCGCGATCACTACTCAGACGCAGAATAGAAAGGTGTAAAAAGGGCAATTTTAAATTCATACAGACGACAAGGACCTATGTTTATCACCAAAGGCAGCGGAAAATGCATTGAAGGACAAAGCGTAATTTCTTTCTACGCCAAAGGTGCACTGGATGCAGCGCGCAATCTACTAGCCAGCTAAGAGTTTTTAATATTGGAGTTGATCTAAAACCCCGTGTAAGGAGTTTTATACAAAACATCCTTTCAGACGTTGTTAAAATTGAAAACATCCGCGAAAGATTCGCGACGCGGGCGGTCCGCAAAAGTATCTTTTTTCCGCGACAGATTTATCAAAGGTCTTCGCTTTCATAGATGTTTTCCTTTATACCGACTGACAAATGGTAGAAATACAAGGCAATCCTCTGGCAGCGCCGGTGGCCGGAAGTGTCCCCGCATGTGCCCATTGTAACATTCCCCAAGCTGCATCGCCCTGTGTTGGGAGCTGGCGCCAGGATTTTGGGTTGAGTTGCGCCGACTCTTTCCTAAGCCGCCGCCAGGACTCTGGATACTGTTTGTCGCGCCGATGCTGCGAGTGACCCTGAGTGCTGTAGAAACTCTCAACCTTTTGCTGGGGTCAGGCAGCAAGATATCAGTCCCTACTTTGTGATACAAACACGTATAGTTCCGGCTCATGTTAGCTAGACATGGTTGTGGGGCTCTGCTTCGCGATGAGGCCGCGAAAGATCCGCGAAAACTATTTTTTTCCGCGACGAAATGCCATTCCAGGATGAAAGAATATTGATCAACCACCATATATATATACACAAAACCAATACAAAGAATGTTCCTCTCAAACGAAACAAATATTTGCATGTCGACGCATAATCTATACATTAGCCGCGACATGATGCTTAAGGGCCAGCTCACAATGTGTACCAGGTGTATGTACGCAAACGTACAGTTCATACACGCGCCAAGATTGAGACTGACACACAACCATTGCATAAGCGAGACGCAACCAAAATATCAGCGAACCACCGCCACAGAACCGATGTGCCGCCAAAACAGCCAACCAAAGCAAAAACACAACGAAAACACAACCGGCATATCACCCAAACATGAGCAAGACCGAAACATGACCGACGCACCAAAATTACCGAGACACCACCAAAACATCACCGAGAGACACCACTGAAACATGACCGAGACGCCACCTAAGCATATCTAAACATGACCAAAACGCCACCTTTAAAAAAATTACCAAGACACCACAGAAATATGACCAAGACGCCACCTAAACATGACCGAGACACCACAGAAACGTGACCAAGACGCCACCTAAACATGACCGAGACCCCACAAAAACATGACCAAGACACCACCTAAACACGTAGACATGACCAAGACACCACAGAAACATACAGAAACATGACCAAGACACAACCTAAACACGTAGACAAGACCGAGACACCACAGAAACATGACCAAGACGCCACCTAAACATGACCGAGACACCACAAAAACATGACCAAGACACCACCTAAACACGTAGACAAGACCGAGACACCACAGAAACATGACCAAGACGCCACCTAAACATGACCGAGACACCACAGAAACATGACCAAGACACCACCTAAACACGTAGACAAGACCGAGACACCACAGAAACATGACCAAGACACAACCTAAACATGACCGAGACACCACCAGATCCGACGGCGCCCACCCGCCTAAGGAGTGTACGACCCCCGCTATCAACCGCTTGCCCCGATCGAAGCACCCCCGCGCACAAACCTAGATATTCCAAAATACTACAAATACCCAAATTGATCCGCTGGGGAATATTGCAAGTACCTTTGTTTTTGATCAAAGCAGGGTACTTAGAATATGGAATTGACACGACGGAACGTGCTTTGGCGGCTCAGTTCCGTTTTCTATGTACTTTAGGATTGTTATACCAGAAGGTGTTTAGAAGGAGGAACATCCGGAAACACAACAGAAACGCTGCAGCGAACATGACAGGGGCTTTCAAAGACGTGTTAGAAACAAGTAGCAAAGTGTCATTTTATTCACAGTTTTGTTAAATCCAAGCCGATGATTCACCAGTTCTGCAGGTACCGTTGGAACATGTCGGAACACCTTTGTTTTCAAAGCAACTGTACTGTGGAGAGCGCGCAATGACTATATAAATGGTGGGTTTGAATATCCGGTTGAATATCTACTGTTGAAGACAAGCGTTTGTGGTTCAAAAGCAAAGCTGTATTCCCCTCTTTGAGTCCGCCGTGCCAGTTCTGGGCTTTTTCGACAGCCAGTTCAACCGTCCCGGCCCTTTACGGAAGCTTCACAAGCAGAAAGGCCGCAAAAAGAGGAAACTCAGTGCTTCCAAAGCCTGACCTCTGTGTGTGTGTGCGTAGGCAACCCTTTGCTTCGATGTGGTCGGCGCGTGCAGGTCTTGTTTGGATTTGGTCAATTTTCACACTGCCGACCATCCTGGTGCTGGTGGGCAACCATCCAGATGTGCAGGCACAGCATGGCGCAACATGACACTACGCCACCTCACTTAAGTTGACGTGTTCTTTGCAACCGCACGACTCTACGAAGTTGGGATAGGTTTTGCATCTTCGCAGGATTGGTTCATCAAGTGCGATCCTTGGAAAGAGGATGCAAACCTCAAGCAAACAGCAACGCAACACGTTTCGAGGCAGTACAAGCCGGTTGAGTATCCCCCACAGTTGTAAGCTCAGACACTCACTGGCATAATTACACACGTCCTTTTCCATGCATGTAGTTTGTTCCTTGTTAACGCAGGATTTATAGTTATAATGTGTTATGTTTTATGTTTTATGTTTTTTTAATACACTTATAGTCCAAGACCTATACTTAGAACGTCTTTTGGAAAAATATTTTTTTTCATAAGCATGTTCTAACTCTTAGGGTTAGAACATTCTAATGCATGCATCCGGCACCATGGCTTAGAACGTTGTCTTTGAAAAAGATTGAGAGTGGATCAATCAAAGAATTTGGAGAAGAATACATAAGGATGTTTGTCGATATTTATGCTCATTCAATGGACATATCTTCAACTTGATTGATGTACGTTGTAAGGGCAAAGACACTACAATAGGGCAAGACAGTTTATATACAGGTGTGTGTGTGTGTCTGTGTCTCGCATCTATGTTCTAAGCCTTGCATCCAAGTCTTGAGTCCACATGTTCTAAGTCTTGAGTCCAGATGTTCTAAGTGATGACTAGTGCCAATGTTCTAAGTGTAGCTGCAAAACGATTTTGGAAAAATATTGATGTTCTAAGTATACGTCTTTGACTATACTTCCGCGCCGCAGTTTTGCTGCTTTGGTGAGAGAAGCCAGTGAGTTCTTATATTTTGTCTTTTGAGGTCAGACCCATCCATCATTTATGACATTTTTCACGGTAGGACCCTGGGGGAACTGCACAAGTCGTAAAGGCTGCACCGTCATTCCACGTCATTCCATCATATTAGTTTTGTAAAAATAGAAGAAAGGAAAGTGATAAGGTAACGGCCTCTTTAGTTGGGCCTTGTTGAGGGATCCTCATGTGGCGCGTCCGCTAGGACTCCGAGGAAGAGTTCTTAGGGTGAGAGCGCTCGTCAAACACAAGATGGAATTCAGCTATGGTGTGTGGCAAAAAGGGTGCGAGTGCTTGCACCTATCAATATCTCCCAATGCTTGCACTATCAGCATATAGTTTGTGCATTTTTGAGCGGTCAATTTTGGTTGCACAAGCGTTGGCCCGAGCATACTGCAAAGAAAGGAGGCAAAAGCACTGCAACAGCGTAAAGAACAACTTTCAAACATGTCCCTATTCACTTATAATCGGTGTGGCAGCATAAGCATTCTGGCGGTAAACTTGGGCAGCTGCAGCATGCCACAGGCCTGCCGTTGTCACATTTAGTGTTCGCCAGCAACATCAGGTGGACTGGTTTTGTATGCTTTTGGTGCATCTCGCTTCTGCACTCAGGTGGTGCATAAATGGTTTACTTAGTTTATTACCAAAGTTCAGATACTGAGCTTGGAAGTGCGTTGAACTTATTCATTGACAATACAGAGAACGGCAACGCTGCCTCAGCATGCCTCAACAAGGACCCCCCGAACAATTGGCAATTGCAAGCTGTCAAAGTTGAAAGGCTCCAACTCACAGACAGGTGAAAGCACATGGAAACACATGATGTCGTGAATGAGGCACACGAAGCATTTTTTGGAGACAACCTGTCAAGGAATCAAGGAAACTTGAGGGAGCAATAGTCATGACATCACATTTGTTCGGGTACGGCGGCTGGGTGAGGGGCTCAAGCCGCAACACTTGCACCATCGATCTTTGGAAATCATGTAGTATAGTTCATGCTAAAGTAATTATGCTTGATATGATTTTTTTTTGCATGTTTCAACACAGCTCCTTCGCGGGAAGCAACCAGGGTTAGCAAAAGTGATGGTGCGGCTGCGCAGCTGTGTCGGCTGCGAAGTCCTGCACCGCGATGTGGCCAAAATGTAAGTTACAATTTCTGAGGTCAAATTTTCTCACATAACCCAGGTATTCCCTGCAAAATCTGAGGGTTTGGATGCGTGGACTAATTGTAAGTTACAAGTTTTGACGTCTGCAAATCTCACCTTGCCTGCATCCCGAGACAGCAAGACAAAATCAGACAAACACAGACTCCAGGGGGGGGGGTGGTCAAAAAATGTAAGCGTCCCACCGTGCCTCAAAAAAGCAACATGCATTTTTGAGATCATTTCCCAGGAAATCAGCCATGAGGCCTCAAAATTGTAAGTTATTTTTTTTGAGGCCACCTCAAAGTTAATGTAATTACATTTTTTGAGGCCCTCCGCAGGAAAATGTAACTCACAAGTTTCGACGTCCCCCCTCAGGAAAGGGTAGTGATGTTATTACTTAGTCCTGTACCGCTTACGATTCCTTACTACGATTTACTGCTAGTACTTTTGCTAGCCGAGCCCGTAGCTAGGCCGGCAGAGAAATAGCAGACCAGGTTGCTCACGCTGTCAGGTTACGCAGGGATCGCTTTAATGGGGAGAGACTAAGGGTTCATTAGAGGTACCCCGTGGAAACGATCTAAGACAAACAAAGAAAGATGTATAGGGCCTAGACCTAGGGCATATGCTGCATGAGATTATTCAGGGCGAACATCGTGCCCTCATGTGTGTTGGACCACTTTGTCAGGCGAAATGGGCTGCAGCAAACAAAAATACCATACTTACATCATAAACATTGTTTGCAACAAAACCCGACAATTGTGACACTGACTAGGAATGTTGTGTTCTTTGATGTGGGTTGCATGAGGGCTTTTGCAGCCCTTGCACCACTTTCATTGCGAGATCCACACGTGTACATATCACCAGCTACAGTCACCATATGAGTCCATATGTTTGGTGGACAGTTTTTCATGCATTGTTTTGCATCCAAATTGTGCGTTTCGATGCGTGGTTCTGGATACATGTTACATACTTTGCGCATTGCATGCGGAGTTGGGTGGAGGATGCAGCCAATCGTCCACAGCTGCATATACATGCCTGAACTAGCCATGGAGCCCGCGCTCCTTTGTTTTCAGACAGCGTGGGCACATCCGACTGGGTCCCAGTCCAGCTGCATGCTGATGAGCGCGAAAAAACAAGGCTTCATCGCACACAACCAGAGCAGCTATTCACGCAACCGCGCAGCGCTGAGGGTAGGCAGTGACACAAAAAGAGCCCTGGTACTCTGGCATCTCCAGAAATCACCTGAAACCATTTGCAGGCACCCAACACAGACCAAGCCTTCGAATCGAGCAACAGCAAGTCTGCAGCCATGACTTGTATTACCACATTGCCACACGCAAGTGCGCAAAGGTCTTGGCGCTTTCGTTTTTCACAGGTGTAGCCACGCCACATTCCTGCCTTCAACAAGGTAAACCACCTGGGTGGATGTGATCAAGCTGGTCGCCCCATGCCCTTGATTCAGGGCCTACGTAGCCGGTGGCTAAAGCGGCAAGGGTTCGATCCAGGCAACTCAGAATGTACGTAGATGCTCAATAATGCTCACGGACGCACGGTGCGGACGCACGGCACAGATGCACGGCACGGGCGCTCCACCGTGGCAAACCTCAACGGCCTCGTTTTGGGAACGCGGGCGATTGGTCTCAATTTGGAACGCGGTTGTTTTTCTTCTGGTGGTTTTTTGACTGGTTTTTTGTTGGTGGTTTTTCTTCAGAACACGTTACCACCAGCGTGCGCAAAACAGTGACTTTGTGAGCATCTGTGAGCTGTGAGCATCTGCTTACAATCAATGCAATTCACAATTAAAGGACCGGATAACCCCACATATGAATCTTTACGAATCTTAAGTTTCTAAAGCACAAAGCAGTCAGAGTCTCAATAGCTTCTACAACATGGCCTTGTCAGGAATTATATCAGAATTACCGGCGGATGTACGAGGTATTGTGCAGACATGTGTGTACAGCCACAACTAGCCGAAGTAAAACCCCATCGCTCAGCCACTGGAGGTTCACAAACTGCGCCTGCCACGAAATCTGCACCTCGAGCTTCACAAAGCGCTGCA